TAGACTAGTCTTGATCAGTACAATCAAGTGTTAAAGCTTTTCTTGGATTTTACTGCTTTAATCTATGAGTAGATGTATCAAATATTTGAATGCTTCTCTCAGTAAACTCCGTGAAAAACTCTTGCATATGTAGAAAACAAACATTAAAGAAAGCAGCTGAGTTTGACGTGCACTTTTTAATGCAAGGTCTTAGTGATTTATTTGCATTAAAAGTACATTAATCAAAATATGCAATGCTACTTTGTTACTTACAGGTTGAAATTACATAGTTTAGGATAAAAGGTCCATAACTTGAGATCCCAGGTGCACATGCAGCCCACTGCCAAATCTTTGATTTTTTTCTAGATATGCTCCAAAAATCATCACTAAATGTAATTTTTAATGCAGCAGAATAAATATTTCAGATTAACCATTGGCAAAGGAGGTTATTTATTGTACCCCTATGTATAAACATCCCATGTGTAAGTTTTACAAGTATGAGAAAGCAGAATAATATGGAGTCTGTTAATGATCTTCCTCCCTAGACACAAAGCAGGATTATAATTAAAACATAATGGATAATCTTTTTTCACAATGAAAATGTAATATTTGCCTAATGTCCTCTGCTTTAGTCTTCTAAAGAAGTATTCTTTATTTGTAAAATAATAAATGCTTTTAGAGCATTTGGTAATAAAAGTCTATTGGTGGAGATTGCTGAATTTCTTTGTTCAGTGATATGAATAGTGCAAATCAAAATGTTTTTGTCACTGTGAGACATTTCACCTACAAATTGCTTCCCCCCAAACAGAAGTTACTAAATGAATTACACTCATAATTTTACTGCTTAGCTGGTGTTGAAGCTTGTTAAACTTATGTTCAGCAGTAGAACTTACAAAACATTTTCCTGTTAATGTAACCAAGCAGAATTCAGATGATCTCATAAACCATTAGTTTGAGGAGGGGAGATGTTTTAAGGGAGCCTCAGAGAAGTTGTCCCTGAATGATAGAAAATTAGCTCTTCCTTTATTGCTGATGATTGAGAACAGTTTGTGTGGGGAATGGTAGATGTCTCCTAAAACATTGCTTAGTTAAAGAGATGAACGAACATTAGATTGTTGGTTTCCTACATGAGACAACACTGTTCCAAGGTGAGGCAGAAAAGTAAGAAAAATACAGTAATTGCAATATTAGGGGCATAGGAAGAAGATATGCATAATGATAGGTGAGTGCGGAAAGGAAAAGAATGGAAGACATGAGGGATAGTTGACCACCTATACAAAAAGCCTAGTCTTCATCCCAGACATGCATAATACATACTCAAGCATGCAGAGAACATGGAGGCCAACCCAGAGACAATAGGGGCCCTTTTTCCCCCCATACTTCCATCTCCAGACAAATAGACTTCTCCTTTCTATGAACATAGTTACAGCTAGTCCATAGATCAAAACTGGATCTAGTAGAATTTAAAAATAAACCCAATTTTAAAATACTCAACACTTTCCACAGCCACCACAGTATTACAAAAGGGTCTAAGTCATAGATACATGAGCCCTTGCTGTATTTAAAGTATACTTCCTAACAAAACCATAATCCAATCCTAGGTCACTGCTGTGTCTACAGATACTGTGATTTGATGAAAAATTTGTATAAATATCATGCAAATTATTTCTTATATATTAAAACCAACACTTTGGCATTTGTAAGCAAGCACACCCTACGTCATCTAGTTTGTTGTGATGCAGAACACTTATTCTTTATTCTACGTAAGTTCATAAATTGAGGATCTAAATTCTGGAAAGCTGTTTCGAACTTAAGACTTTTGTTTTTATGATTTCAGTTGATGATACCTGATTTCCAAAGATTATATCTATTTTTCAAAGTATTACTGTGAGATTTGAACCTTCAGCTATATTGTAAGTCAAAGGAGATTTCATGTATAAAATCTGTGGAGTCCTTGGTGTTCTCTGAGCTTGGTTGTTTGCTTGCAGACATTTCATTACCCAACTAGGTAACATCAGTGCTAGTGAGTGTGACTCAACAATTCAGGCCTGAGCTACGTATATTCTCTTCTACTGGAATGTATAAAATCTGTTTATTTTATAAGAGAAGCTACATTAGCTTCAAATATCTAGAATGCAACAAAAAGGAAATTAATAAATTCCAGTCGTATTGGTGGCAAAGAATTTCTCCTGTTTATGTGATTTAAAAAACCAGAAAGCTCTGAGGGTACAGTTACCTTTCTTACCATTGAGCTTATGTTCTGTAGATAATTTGGGTTATTGGGATACCTTGGAGGGGGAATCCAGAAAATGTGGAGGGTTTCAAAAGTAATGATAGTGTGGAAATATATTATTTTTATATAATTTTTAAAAATTTATGTTAGTGTAACATTTCAGATTCTACAAATATTATCCCATTTAAAATGTATTTCCAGAGTGAATTATATGTTGTTTAAACCTGTAATGTGCCTTTCATTTATCTCTACTGAGTATGGGTCCTCCAGCTATATGGTGAATGTGTTGTGATGAGCTGATAAGATTTCTTACGTGGTATTTTAAGTTTTTATATGCCAAGAGTTTGTAAGAGGTAATGCAGTTGGTTGGCATGACATGTGGTATCACGATAATGCCTCTTTAATTTTCTGATCTCTGTTAGCTGAAGAGCAGTATACAAATGTAAATAGCAGCAATAATAATAAAGTTTCATCTTTTTCATTATGAAAAACAGATGAATGACAAAAATAACCATTTATCTGTTTGTGAATAATATCCAAAGGGTTGCATGCATGCTTGATGCGTGCACTAATGTGTGTGTATATTTGGGTGTTTTAAGGAGCACCCCCCTTGAGACTTCTCATCAGAGAAAAGGTAAAATCTTATTTGCGTTGAATTTGATTCCTGATGATACCACAGATGCAGTTATTTAGCAACACTATGGAGATGATTTGTTCATGCCCTCTTTTGACTTCCCATTCAAGCCTATAGTCTTGGGGATTCCTTCCATTCAGGTACTACCTAGATCTGATTGTGCAGTATGGCTTGGCTCTGCCACTGAAGATGTTTTTGCAGCTTCTCATACCCCTTGAAAAACCACTCCTGAAGATTGGCCAATAATTCAAAAAAGCATTCTGTGTAATGCTGTTATTGCAAAAAATGCTTGTGCAAATATTTATACACATGCAGCTTCCTAGTGTTTAATTCTTTGCAAATTTTCCCATAGGGAAATGCATTTTTAAAAATATTTCTAATATATGTAATTTCTGCCTATTTTGCAATCCATATTACAACATTCTGAAAAGTATAGCATAAAATTCAACATATAGGTTCATTCTGAGTTTTCTTATATATTTGCTAGGGTCTAAATAGATTACTTTTTTCCTACAAATTCTCTTAAACTGAATTTTCCATCCATCTTTAGCTGTAGGGGTGATTTTCAATTAGGAAAGAAAGGAAAGATCCTAAACAGCTATATAGGCACAAGAGAGAGAGAAAAACAACCCAGAAAACAGATGTTATATTGGTTGTCTATATTTATTCTCTTATATGTTTCAGATGGTTTCTTTATCAAGGAGGAGTCCATAATGTAAAACTCCAACTATAAGTCTTGTTTCCTCGACTGATGCAGACATGCAATACAACATCTGTTTCTGTGTTTTTCCTTGTGATTTTCATCACGTTTTTCTTCCTTGCAGCTGCAATTTATAATTTTATTACTAAGTCTTCTGTTTCAGGCAGATTAATGCAGTTGCTACAGATGGGCAGGGCAAGAAACATATACACTGAACAATCCAAGGTGAGAGAGGAGAATAAAGATAGAATGGAGTTTCCACAGACTCTTTGCCTCAGTACTTTCAGATTATTATGGATTGTGTAGACCTAAATGTTGCTAGATAACTCTGAGCAAATTTAGCATAATAATAGTGGAAAGAAAATAAGTTCTTGAGTAGCTGGGATGAAGTTCACAAATATGCAAGTCCTTTTCTGCTTTCAATCTGGTTGTCAGCTACTAGCAAGTTTGGAGACATTTGCCTGTCCTTGTCGTTTGCCACTGACTTATACCTTGTCTCTGATTTTACACTGCTGTTTATAGAATTTAATAAAGCAAATGTAATAATGCTGCTAGTACCTTAATCTACAATCTCAATTTAGCTGACCATGAGATTAATAGGAGCAGGAATGATAGTGCATTCTACAGATTGTTTTTAATAAGCATGTTATTTAGTTGATCGTCCAAGAGCACCAATGCCTCAATTTCTAGTCTGCCACACAAATTTATTAATGCTTTCTGCTCCTCCTCCAACTGATTCCCTGCAGAAACATCTCTATTGAACCTTTAAAAAGTCACAACTTCCAAATTAGATTAAGTAGTAGGAATTGTATTAGCAGAATCAAAGAAAATTGAATGTGTTATTGAATTCATGCCACATTGTCTCTGTAAAAGACTGACATTAGGTATAGTAGTAACTTTAGTCCTTCGTTTACTATGAGCATTGCTGCCAAATCAATTGCCACACACTTGAAAAGGGTTAATCTTTGTTTGTTTTTTCATTTGTCTCTACTGAAGCTGCAAAAAGAAAACTTCAATGATAAATGCTTTTGAGGAAAAAAAATATTCATAGATTTCTGTGTCTGACCCAGTTTCTGTACATTGTGCATAGAAAATTAACAAATCATGAAACATTTGGCACTGGAGTGTAAGCATACTTACTTGTCATTTGATAAATACGCACATTCATTTTAGAACTGCCTGTTTCCCATTTGGGCCTAACAGATTAAGAGGTGCATAATTAATGGATGACATTAATAATTAACATTAACTTTATGGTGCTTAATAGGCCATCATTTATCCATCAAATAGCTTGTATGCTTAAATGTCCTTCCATCAAATTTTGAATTACAAAAGGTGATTTCTAAATTCTTAGTTTGTGTGTTGCACAGTATCCATCCCAATGCATCTAAAAAATTCAATTACCCTTCCTCCCAGGACAATAGACTTTATTGTCATATTTTATTTCTTCCTAGAACAGCACACAAACAGTTAAACCAGGAACTTCTGTTAGGGAATCCAGGCCCCAATGCACAGCCTTCATCAGTGGCGAAAGAGCACCACCTTGCTGCTGCCAAAGCTCTCTGGAGAAATTTCTTTCCATATTTGAAGGGCCAGAGGATGATGAAGACTCCCCCTCCTCAGCTTGCAGATACAGCTGCAGGTTTGTACTCCAACTTGTTCTCATCTTCCCTGTGGCCATGATACATTCTTCCTGTTTTTGAAGAAGCTGCTATTAAATATAGTAGACTTTACCTGCAAACGGTAGGATTCTTATAGGCACATTCAACCTTTTGATGCACGCATATACCTAGAGGGGAAGAGAGGTTCATACATTCATCTTAGTAGAGTGCTCACTTTATTTATATGGTACCTCTAGATCCATAAAATGAGTGGCACTTTTTGTTAGATATTCATTATATTTGAAATGTGTACTGTAATCTTAAATAATGTTAATGGTTGATGCTTCATCATATTCAGTACAATGCATATTTTCTGTGCTTAAATGAGTTTGTTCAGAGTGCTTCTGCTGCTACAAATTTACTTCCCCTGGAGTTTCTCTAGGATTATAATAATCTTCACTGTTCTGTAAATATATCAAGTAAGATTTCAAATACATTGTGTGACTTTAAAAAAAAATAGCACCCTGTATTCTGGAGTCTTATAATGTAAGAATGCCACTCAAAATTCTAGCAGATGGAACGACATCTTGCAACTAAACTATAAAAGTGGTGATCCTTGACTTCACTGGAGCTGTGCCCATCTGATCCGGTCCCTTTGTATTTTAATACAGTACTGTTTCTTCCATGAAATTCCTGTATACTAACTCTGTATATTTTAACTCAATACAAGAAGGCTTGCATTTAGTTATAATAGCTCACTGAATCCATTTCAATATTATTTGGAAAAGACAGATTTGAATTTAAATGTATTTTCCTCAATATGAATTAAGAACTGAACATATGCGCTCTGAAAATTCTAGTCGATAATGGAAATGAAGAAAAACCTTGAACTTCAGCAGCTTTGCAATAGTTAATATATAATAGTGAGGGAATAAAATGCAGGAGCAAGGAAATATCTTCCCACTTTCTAGATGTATAATAGCATACAGATGCAACACCAAAGCAGTGGCCCTGGTACCCTCTTTAAAATGTCAATTCTAGTTTTCCTTGCATATTTGTTAAAAAAAAGTAAAAAAAAATAGAAACTATATAATTGATTATCAATAACATTGACAGTACAGCAATGTTTGCATTAAAATGCTAAAGAACAGTGAAGTATAAGCTGCTTATAAATCAATGCATATTCAGTGAATAAATAAATAATATAGCACAGTTAAGTTTTTAACTCATTTTGGCTGAGGAATAACTGCCAATATAATCTTCCTGTCTCCCCAAATACCCACAAAGATAAAAATAAACTCTGTTCATAAATAGAGAGGATTGACCTATGCAAGAGGGGAGAGGCTGACTGATGAAGCCTGGTTTCACAACAAATAGCATGATCCATGTCATTTTATGATTCCTGTTTCCAGTTTCTTTCCTTTTTAACTATAGAATTCCCTGGAAGTAGGAAACAGCTGGTGGAGACAGATTCTAAGAGACAAACAGCTAGCAGGAAAAGCTGAAGCATGCGTCTCGAAGCTCTGCTCAGGATTTCAAATTCCTTATTTTTACTGGGGAGAGGGAAGGAATCTTACCATTAAAAAAATTCACCATTAGGTAGGCTTGCTCTACTTCTCTGTTTTCCTAACTCATACCCACTTTGTTTTTAAAATCAGGTTTGACTTTGTTGGCTTTGGATTTGCCCGGTGCATGCACATCAGATCTTCAGCCTCAGCCAATTATATCTATGATGCAGTTGTTTGGATGGGATGATATAGTTTGCCCTCAGCTGGTCTCAAGGTATCTAACTCATCTGATACAAAATAGGTGAGTCAGACAACTTCTTGGCTAAATGAAAGTAAATATTTGCATGACTCTGGTTTAGTTCTTCCATTGCAGTAACATTTAGATTTTTATTACACATTGCTGTGAAAGCGAGATTGGAAATCTATTTTCATTAAAAAAAATTATTAAAACCCTGCAAATTTTGGATGAGGCAACATTGTTTTTTTTAATTCTTTAAAGTGTCTTAGACTAATCTAGGAATAGGGCATAGGTATTAATTTTTTTGAACACCAAGGGCATATGACTAACTTCCCTTAGTTTGCTCTTTAATATGGACAGGTTATTCTTCAGAGACCATCTCCAAAGCTCCTTTCGTGTAGTATATCAAGATTCTCTGTTCTTTGAAGGTGTTTTTTCAATCACAGGAACATTTTAAGTCCCTGCATTGTATTTACACAATAGCTGTTTCCCATTTATCCATTTCTTTAAAATAGTTTAATGTCAAATGGAACCTCACTGCTTTTGACATTGAGCAAACTATTTGTGAAAAATACATAAGAAGTAAGTCTTCTGGCATGGTTGTTTAATTAGAGGCAGTTTGTCTGATGCCACAAATTCTGCACAACTGTAGAATCACAGCTGTAGAATCTTGCAGAACTGTAGAATCACAATGCATCTCTGAGGGATTTCATAATACATTTTTAAATTGTATAAATTAGGAATAAGCCAGATGTACATTAGCCAGACACATGTTAAAATATGTTGCTTGGACATTGGTGCTTAAGCTGTATGATCTATGCAATCTTCCTATTTTTAATGTGTGTAAACAACAATGTGGGAGAGGGCACGAGAATGCCCATGTAAACATGCTCAAGTTGTAATGTCAATGGTTTTTGCCTTTCTCCTCAGTGACAGTGACAGCAATCATACTTTACAATTTAATAGGAAAATTGTAGCTCACTGGCAAAGTGCAAGCTTTGGGTACAAAATCTTGATGTTTAATCCTAGACATCTGCAGATAGAACTGAGAAAGTCTCCTGGTCCAGAACCTTGTCCCAGTGGACAATCTTCACTGGGATAGAATGGTATATGTAATCAAGCTTTTTCTCCCATAACTGTTCATATCTTTACAGTCAGGATTCTCACCTAGGCTTGTAGGCTGCTTCAGTTGTAACCACCGCTAAGCAGCAAACACTCTACCTCCGTAACAAAGAACGAAACAATATAAGAAATAACATTAGCAAAGAGTATACTGATGCACTGTGAAAACATCCTCCAAAATAAAATAAACACCTCCATATTTCACTCCCTGGAGGCTTCCTGAAACCACCAGGTCTCAATGGTTTTTCTGAATTCAGTAAAGGTTGAGGTCATTCTAGTGGCAAAGGAGAAGACCTGATTCTGAGCTCCCTGATTATTATATTATCTTAAAGACTCAAAGAAAACCCTCTCTCCTTGAGTAGGTGGTCCCAAAGATAACCAGACCCTAAGTAATATAGGGTTTAAAGGTGAAAAACAGCACCTGGAATCACACCCAGAGAATACAGAATCTCTCCAATTACTCCAATTTACTGAGTTTTAGATCTTTTCAGTTATATAAATAATATTGCCTATATTATCCTTCCAATACACTAAATAATCCAATTTCAAAAGCCATTTTGTCAAGCCTTTGGCAAGTCTGCCTTAATTCTTCTTAGATAGTCTGCTAGGAAACAAATGTGTATTGGGGAAAGGAATTTCAGAAAAAGAGGTGGGTCAGAGGATAGAGAAATGCACTGAAGAGAGGGAATGGATGTATGTTAGAGATTAAGGACACTAAATTGCATTTCCAAACAGAGGTTATCATTTTTCTCCTCTCTTAATAGCTCAGGAGGAACAACTCCAATAAATTATAATATTAATTTTTCTGAAAACATTTATGTTGCATTGAATTTTCATTGATTTCCCTAACTCCCTTGCATATATACAAGTTGCATGGAATTTTCCAGCTGTTCTGCTGACTGTACATAAAAGCACTATTGGAGAACTGGGAATAACTGACATCCTAGATCTTGCTACAGTTGCATTGGGCAAACCAGCTTAGGGGTCAGTTCTGCCCAGTTTAGGGAAAAGGCGTGGTATTCTGTGCCATAGCATGTACAGGACATTTCTTAGAGGCAGGAGTTGCAGGAATTATATACAGATAAAAAAAGGAAATGATATAAATCAAGGAGAAAGAATGGCTTTTCTATCTACCTAATTTGTTTTTCTTTATTGGCTTTCTTTTCTCTGCAGCGCACTGACTGAAGCTCTTACTGGCATAGGTCATTCATCTTACCAATCCTTGTTTGTTCAGTCTTGGTTTCGATGCATTTTACAAATGTTTATCAGTCAGCCTCCTGAGACTTTGATCAGAACAGATGCTGACCAAACAACCCGTATGTACATTGGTTTATATATGATCAGCAGCAATGAGGAACTCAGCCTTTTCAATTATGTGCAGAATGTTAGTTACCCACCCCAACCTTTTTTTGCCTAGTTATTCTTCCAGTTTATGTTTAACTACTGGGGTAATTGATCAGTTGCTTAGTTTTTAATTTAATTTAAGATTGTTCATTTAAAAACAAAAACAAAACATCCCAAACTTTATGAATAATGTAGAGTAATCAATTGGAAATCATAGCCTAAATTTGATAAATTATTTCAAAACATTTTTAACCCATGTGAGAGGATATTTTGCTGTTATAGCAATTGAAAGTGTATATTTCTAGATATTAATGCTAGTGATTCTTTTCATTATATTTGCAAGAAAAGGGCAAGATACCCCTGAAAACATCCTTCTGGGGTAGAAGGCAACAGTTAAATTAGTGGCCCTTTTATGTATTTATATTTTGACCTTTGATGATTTCATCTGGATTGGAGTTAACCTTATTAAACTTGGTTGACTTGAATAGCAGATAAAAAGTTGCAGAAACATAGTCTGGGCTTGAGTTTGCCTGCTGTAATGTTTACTGAAGTATACAGATGTTTGCAATTGGGAATAACAAAGAGAGAAGTTGATAACCTTCAGAAAGCAAAGGATTAGAGGGAAAATACTAACAGCCATGGCATCTTATAATTTCTAAGAAATGTCTATGCTTTTGAAAACCGTATGCTTTGTTACAGTTTTCCAAATCTGAAGTGTGGTATAGTGGTTAAGGTATTGGTCTAGGATCAGTGTGATTCAGATTCAAATTTACCCTCAGTCATTGAAGCTCATTAAGTGACTTGGCCATATATGCTCTCAACTCAACTTATAGGGTTTCAACTCTTATAGGGTTTTTGTTGTGCAGAAAAATGGAGAAGGAAGTGCTATGTATGCTGCCTTGAGCTCCTTGAGGAAACACAGGATATAAATCCAACAGACAAATGCTGGTGTTAGAGTACAGTTCATATCTTCCCTTGGTGGAAGTTGTAGTTCACCATACCTGAGGGACTATCTAGGGATGGGTGCTTGATGGAAAAAAACTCAATGCTAAGTCACTTCAATTTCTTCCATGTTCTGTTGATAAATAGATAAGGCTTATATGGAGCAACTGACTGAACTCACAAGATTGATATTCAAACTACCAGAAGTAGTAACTCTCTTCTCAAAGGCTCGCATTGATGAGTCAGTCTACAAACAAGATCCTAAGGATGCTATTTTCCAGTTCATTGAGGTATGGTGTTTAAATAGCAATTTTGGAGGAATAGGATTAGGAAACAACCTATCCTATCTCAGTAGGGTAGATGTATCCCAATATTAGTCAAGAATTACTCTCCTTTTTTTTCCCTATACTTTCTTAGGCTATTGGAAAAAATTACAGTGGTCTTCAGCATCTGCCTGAAAAATCAGTCATGGTGACAAAAGCGCTCGTATATCTTGGTGATATATTAAAATATGTAAAACCCTACTTAATAAAGAAAGGGCCTGCAGAAGGACTACATCTCACCTACAAGATAATAGGTAATTATCATGCTTAGTGCTCCCCTTGTTAACTATATAAAGCAAATTCATTAGTAAGAATGCTTCCAGGCAACTTTTCCAGCAATGCAGAAGCCAGGTTGCCCTTTGGTTCCCTTGCAAGCTTCTGTCAATAAAACCAGCCAGGAGACATAGTGCAAATGGGGCTACATTCATTAGGAGGTTGTTGGGATGGGCATTTGTTGAAATTCTCAGAAACTCCTGCTGCAACATACTGAGGCAATTTGAGAATAAAATTGCCTGTTTTCATGTTAACTTCAGTGCCTCTTTTGATACAATATCTGCTCCCCGTTGTGGGGAGATGGGCGGGGACAAGTCTATTAAATAAAATAAAAAATAAATAAAATAAGTGTCCATTGTCTGGTCCGGTTGCATGGGATCACTTTCAATTTTTTGAGGTTTGAAACACAGACATTATGCTTGTAACTGCCAAATCTGCCTCATGTCTTCTGATCCCCTATACCTTTTGTTTTTTTAATTCTAGCTGTGTGTGTATGTATGTGCATGTACGTGCATGCATTCAAGGGAGTCTAGTTGGATTGGTCCAAGGAGTGGTGAATGGATCTCTTTGTGATTCAGCTGTGCCTGCAGTCTTTAGGGGGGCAGTAGTAGATTAACTACTGAAAAAGCTCTCTCTGCATCCAGCATTTTATCCAGCTAACATTCAGCTGATTATGAGCCATTACGTTGGTATGGATAAAGTGGCTAAGGAGAAGCTATTTTCCCCTTCCCAAAATACTAGAACCAAAGGTCATCAATGCAATTGAATCTTAGAAGAATTAGAACAGACAAAAGGATTTTTCTTTTTTACACAATGCATAATCAGACTTTGGAATTTGCTACCACATGTGGAGCTGGCTACTAGCTTGGCTGGCTTCAAAAAGGGGTTCATGGAAGTCACGGGGATCAATGGCTATTAGCCTTGATAGCAGTATGACTGCCACTGAAGGCCATCTTCAGGGGAGTGGACTTCCTTGTGCAGTTGGTTGGCCACTATGAGAATAGACTGCTGGACTAGATGGGCCAGGGGTCCAATCCAGCAGAGCACTGCTTATTTTCTTAAGTTGCTGTGGAATCTTAGCAACAGCATAAATAGACTTTCTCTGGGAAGATCTGCCCCAGCCTGACCCTTCAGGTCTCCCAGTGTTGCATTCATCCCTGTTGTGATTGAGTCCATCCATCTTGCTGCTGGCTGTCCTCTTCTTCTCTTTCGTTCCACTTTTCCTAGTATTATTGTCTTCTGAAGAGAACTGAGTCTTCACATACTGTCCAAAATACGATAATTTCAGCCTGGTCACTTGTGCCTTGATTGATTTCTGGATTTCTTCTATGATCCTTTTTTTTTTTTTACTATCCATGGTCTTCTCCATCACTAAAGTTCAAAAATGTCAATGCCCTTTCTATCCTGCTTCTTCAAAGCCCAAATTTTACTTCCTTAAAGTATAGGAAAAGGTCTGAGGCCTTGGACAAGATCGCTCCCATGCCACATCTCCTGACCCATCGAGCCCAATACTTCCCGTGGTTTATGGAGGAGTTGAGGGTCTTGAAAAGGATTAAGAGATATCTAGAATGCCACTGGAAGAAAACAAGGATCAAACCCAATCAAACACAGGCTAGAGCTGCTATTAAGACCTACCTTGTGGCGATAACAGCAGCGAAACACCAATATTTCTTAGCTTTTATTGCATCCGCAGCATGCCCCCCATTGGCCCTGTTAAAGATCACCCGATCCCTTTTGGGAAAGGAGGGCCCAGTTGCCCACCTACAGGGCCATCCAGAAGAGTTTTCTGGGCATCTGGGGAATAAAATCGCTTGGATTCATTCCCAGTTGGATACCCAGGGGACAGACTTACCCTGTTATTTGGGAACAGTTTGATCCTGTTGAACCTGAGGAAGTGAACAGGGTCCTCTGGACTGTCAATGCCACCACTTGTCTACTAGATCCATGCCCCTCCTGGCTGGTTAAGGCTGCTCAGGAGGTGACGTGTGGGTGGGTCCAGGTGATGGTGAATTCATCCTTGAGGGAGGGTGTGTTTCCAGATGTCTTTAAAGAGGCCCTGGTGCATCCCCTCCTCAAGAAACCATCTCTGGATCCCTTCTCTTCCTTTTTAGGGAAGGTGGTTGAGAAGGTGGTGGTGTTGCAGCTGCAGAGGACCCTGGATGAAGCAGATTATCTGGATCCTTTTCAGTTAAGTTTCAGGCTTGGATATGAGACAGAAACAGCATCGGTGGCACTCATGGATGATCTCTGGTAGGAGCAGGATGGGGGTAATGCATCCATCCTTGTTCTTCTTGATCTCTCAGCAGCTTTAGATACCATCAACCATGTTATCCTTTTGGGTCGACTTGGGGAGTTGGGAGTGGATGGCACAATTTACACTGGTTCACCTCCTTCCTCCAAGGTGGTCCCAATCGGTGTTGATTGGGAGCAAGAGGTCCAGCCCTCGGTCCCTCCATTATAGGGTGCCACTGGGTTCAGTACTCTCTCCACTCCTTTTTAACATCTACATGAAACCACTAGATGAGATCATCCATCACCATGGGATGAGGTATCATCAATATGCAGATGATACCCAATTATACATCTCCATCCCAGGTGACTTGAGTGATGCTGTGACCACCCTTTCCTGGTGCCTGGAGGCTGTGTGAGTCTGGATGGGGTGCAACAGGCTTTAGCTGAACCCTGGTAAGATGGAGTGGCTGTGGATTGGAGGTCCCTCTATATCCGGGGGTGTACCATCTTTGGTTCTGAATAGGGTTGGACTACCCTAGATAAGACCGGTGCATAATCTGGGGGTCCTTCTGGACTCACAGCTCATGCCCGAAGAACAGGTAGTAATCATAGCCAGGAGGGCCTTTGCTCAACTTTGTGTTGTGCACCTGTTACACCCTTCCTGGATCAGAAGGCCCTCCAGTCAGTCACTCACACCCTGGTCATTTCTTGTTTACACTATTGCAATGTGCTGAAATGGGGCTACCCTTGAAGAGTATTTGGAAGCTACAGCTGGTTCAAAATGCGACCGCACAAGCAATCTTGAGTGCCCCAAGGGTGGCACATGTAACACCTTTGCTGCAGGAGCTGCATTGGGTGCCAGTTTGCTTCTGAGTCCAATTCAAGTTGTTGGTTATCACCTTTAAAGCCCTACATGGCATGTGTCCAGGTTACCTGAGGGACTGTCGCACCCCCATCACATCGACCCGTCCCACCTGGTCAGGCAAAGAGGGTATGTTGCAGACCCCATCAGAGAGAAATGTTGACTGGCGGGGCCCAGGAGAAGACCCTTCTCTGCCATTGCCCCTGCCCTATGGAATATTCTCCCCCCAGAGATGATGTGGGCCCCCACCCTCCTGGCTTTCTGGAAAGAACTGAAACCTGGCTCGGCCTCTGTTGACTTGTGTGGGGCAAGGAGAGATATAACCAACCCTGGGGGTGACTGGTGCCTTGAAGATGCTCCCCAATTCTAGTAATTTTTAGTTCTCCGTCAATATTTTGGAAGATATTTATTATTTGTAGGGATATTGTTATATTGAATTTTAATTAATATTTATTCTTTTACTGTAATTCACCCAGAGTTGCTTTCAGTGAGATGGGCAGTGACAAATGTAAAAAATAAATAATTTTTTAAAAAAATGATAGGGAAAGCCATTGCCTTAAGTATTCTGATCTTTGTAGATATCGACCCATAATATCTTTTCCCAGAATGAAGATAGTTTGGCCATACATATACTGGTAATTCCTTTAGGTTACTGGATGTGGGTGTTACAGTATGTTGCAGCTGTTTTTGCAACATAGTCAAGCAAAGTGAGAAATCCTCCTCCTTCCTTTTATAGCTTGTATAGTTTGTATTCATGATCAAGTCTTTTAGTGTAGCTAAGTAAACTATAATGCAGCCCCTTCTTGGAAAGTAAAAATTCTGCTTCTAGCCAGTAAGTGTGTAGTAATTCCTATGTCCTCTTTCTCTTTTAGAGTTAAGGAAAGGCATTAATTAGGCTTAGCTGGCAATTCTTCAGGTTGGCAACATGGGGTTTTTCCTCTGGAATATGGTCCCATGTTGGATTATCTCTTTCCCTTCTGGTTAATATCCTGCAACATAATGCTCTTTCCTATCCATCTTCCTTTCTTCTCCAGATCACATTCACTTAGGGAGTCTTGACCTGGGTTCCCCAGGAACAAGTTAAAAACTTCAGCAGCTCCAAAGCTGCCTAGTCCAACATAGTTCATTAGTCATCATCTCACCTTCTCTCTTCTGCCCACCTAGCCCATACTAACTTCCTGTCTCTTCCTTTTAAAAATCTGTGAGAAACTATAGAGTCTCTTATCTCTTTCCTAGCTAGTTTATCACTGTTCAAGAACATCTTGCTTGTCTGGAAAGATCACATTATGGCATGATAGGCAGCACTTAGCTGCAACATAGTGTCAATTTTTACTTTCCATGTAGGGCAGTAGTTTACTTAGGTACACTGAAAGAGTTGGTTGTGAATCCAAGTGATACTCTCTTGCTATAAAGGGAAGCAGGACGGAGGATTTCTCATTCTGCTTGGCTCTGTTGCAAAATGGTGTGCCAGTGCAGTAACAGCTGCATTGACTGCTTGTTAGCTACCAAACCATATTCAAGATAGTAACAGCTAGGGACCAGGACACTATGAAGAATGCCTTTTCCCCTGTAGGCTCTAGCAATCCCAATAATTACTGAAGGTGGTTCTGCTCTTTCCTGCAGACTATTATCTTGAGGTATTTGCAGTCTTCCTCCTTCCCTCCCTCCCTCCCTCTTTTTTTGGAATGCTCTCCTCAACTTGTGGGAGCTGCATACTATTACATCTCTTATTAAAAGTTCTTCACCCAGGCCTTCTCTGTGTAAACATTATATAGATTTAAAAAGCAGGAGAGAGAAAATATTAATCTGTTGCTTTTACATTACTTGGTTTTATGTTATTTGTTTCTTTCTTTTAATAACTAACATTCTTTTTTATGGCTGGTGTGG